TATATATATATATATTTTAAGATGCTAAAGTGCTTTAATTTTCACTCCTTAGTCCCTGACAGAATCTAACTGTAAGTCTCTATATGTGGCCTGAAATGTTATATCACAAGTTTCATCTGTTCACCACAAGCTATATTTCACTTGCCAAAGGGCAAGCGGGGGGATGTGGTGAATGAGTCCATTCACTAATGAATTTTTTGAGCGCCAGCAGCATGCCACACACTTTGGGAACTGTTGGGGTCACAGATGGGACTGATACGCTGCCTTTGAGGAGCTCCCTGCAAATGTGCTGCAGTCTAAAGCACTCTGAGCTCAGAGCTCGAACCCCTGCCTTCCCAGCTCACTGGGCTCTGGACTCTTCCTCTGTGAATTGAAGGAATTGGATGTGATCTCAAAGCATCCTTCTTGTTCTGAAAAGTTCTGTAATTTAACTGCTTCTTTTAAGCTAAATAAGCTCAGTGCTGAGCATGTGATGCCTTAATAACTAAAACTGACCGAGTCAATTCAACAAACATACAGGAAAGCTTATCAGACCCAGCACCTGCCCTTAGGAAGCTCACAGAGGGGAAGCTGTGGGCAGAGGGGACGTGGGGGTACTCGTTAGACCCCGGCATGCTGGGCGCATGCTACCTATGTGAGCCAGGCAGTTTACATACCTTATTTACTTACCCCCCCACCTCCCATATTCCCATGAGACAGGGATGGCTTGTAGGCGGAGGGATGGAATTTGAAAACTCCTCGCCTCCACTGACCACGGTGGGGTATTCTGCCCCTTCTTTTCCAGGGAGAGAGAGATCCAGAGTTGGTGTCCATTCCTCCCTCCACCCATATCAGCAACTTCTCTTTGGCGGGGGAACGCTTCGCNCGGTACTCTGCCCTTTCTTTTCCAGGGAGAGAGAGATCCAGAGTTGGTGTCCATTCCTCCCTCCACCCATATCAGCAACTTCTCTTTGGCGGGGGAACGCTTCGCTTACGGGCCACATCTCAGTAGTGGGCAGGGTCACTCCTCTGACAGGTGGCACCTGCCGCCCTTCTCTGTTCTGCTGAGACTTGATGTGTTGCCCAGCAGTGGTCAGATCCATGCAACCGGGAAGGAGAAAGACTAGGCTTGGACTCTGAAGGCCCAGTCACCGCCCCTGCTCCCACCTGCTGGCTCAGGCAAGCATGCAGGACTCCCTGCCCGTGTTTGGGAAGGAAGTTTGGAGCCCCATTTAGTCTCAGTTCTACAGAGATTCTCCCATCCAATCTCTACTAGACCTTCCCACGGAAGTGCTGGACACTTAGTCAATTTAATATTTCCCATTTGACCAGTGATTCTTGGTTGCATGTTCTACAGTTCAGAACCCCAGACAGCCTAGCCCACGTTCAGCACCTGTATGCCTCATGAAATGAATGATGAATGAACAAATGAATGAATGAGTCCTGGTCTGGGGGGCTATAGCATCAAACTCAGGGAGGTGAGTGCTCAGGGGTTTTTTTAGCGAGTACAGTTGTATATTTTTCTATCGTATTTTGTAAAAATTCAGGCTGTGTAGCCCTAGCCAGTTTGGCTCCGTGGCTAGAGCATCGGACCTCGGATTGAAGGGTGCGGGGTTCAATTCTGGCCAAGGGCACAGACCTAGGTTGCAGGCTCGATCCCTGTCCCAGTCGGGGTATGTGTAGGAGGCAACCAATAGACATGTCTCTCTCACATCGATGTTTCTCTCTCTCTCTTACTCTCTCTGAAAAGCAATGGAAAAAAATATCCTCGGGTGAGGGTTAAAAAACCCCACCTCAGTCAGTGTCTGTATGGCTTGTTTCTGCTCCCTTACACAGAAGAACGTGGACATGAGCTTGCTTTTCCCTCTCCATAGGCCTCAGGGGAAGGCCTAGGTGCAATGCAGAAAAAAGATCTGCTTACACCACCTTTTCAATATATGTATTGAGCAGCCTACTGGGGAAATGCCTTTAAGCGTCACCAATGCTTTATGCGATGGCCATACTCTTGCTGCGACTCCAGAGGAAAAGAAGTGTGAGCACTGTACATGCTAAAGACACGGAACTTGAAGTCTGAGGAATTTGCTCAGAAATGTTTTACAAGAGGGACAGCCCAGCTGGGCGTGGCTCAGCGGCTGAGCGTCGACCTAGGATCCAGGAGATCCGGGTTCGATTCCCGGTCAGGGCACATGCCCAGTTGGGGGCTCGATCTTCAGTTGGGGGCATGCAGGAGGCACCCGATCAATGACTCTCTCATCATTGATGTTTCTCTCTCTCTCTCTCCCTTCCTCTCTCTGAAATAAAGATATATTTACCAAAAAAAAGAAGAAAAAAAAAGAGGGACAGTCTGCATAACAAAGGCTTGTAGAAGAATACTACAGAAGATTCAGCAACCAAGGCCACCAATGCAATGTTTACAGAACAGTTAAAGCCAGTGGCTCGTGGAAAACCTCATCCAAGAGAGGTTTTTATTATCACTCAATGCAGTTTATTTGAGAGGAGGCTAATTCTAAAGTGTTTGCTTGTGATGTTCCAAAGTATATTTCCTGCCATGATTTTATTGTTTTCCATGAATTTCTTGCTAGCCAGCAATGTTATATTTTTAGATGTTACCATGGTAGGTTATAAATATTTTAATTATATTAATGAGGCCAATGTTAGTGAAAATGTATTGCAGCATTACTTCCAATAGCCAAGATCTGGAAGCAGCCCAAGTGCCCATCAGTAGATGAGCGGATAAAATAGCTGTGGGACATTTACACCATGGAAAACTACTCGGCTATAAAAAAGAAGGAAATCTTACCCTTTGCCACAGGATGGATGGACCTGGAAAGCACTGTGCTAAGTGAAATAAGCCAGGTAGAGAAAGACAAGTACCATATGATTTCACTCATATGTGGAATCTAATAAAATAAACTAAAAAGCAAAATAAAGACAGACTCATAGAGAGCAGGCTGACAGCTGTTGGAGGTGTGGGGTGGGGGGTAGGGGGGTGGAGGGATAAAGCAAAACGGAAAAAAAAGGAAAAATTCATAGACGTGGACAACAGTGTGGTGATTGCTGGGGGAAGAGGGGTGGGGGAGATGGAGGAGGTAAAGGGGGGTAAATGGCAATGCACGGAGACTGGACTTGGGGCAGTGAACACAATACAGTGTACAGATGATGTGTTGTACAATTGTGCACCTGAAATCTGTATAATTTTGCTAACCAGTGTCACCCTAATAAATTCAATACAAAGTAATTAAAAAATATATATAAATTGAATTTCTTCTTAAAGTTGGTAAGATTAAGTAAATTATAAAGCTATGTAATAAAAGTAGATATTATAGAAAAAAATATATCAACTTTAAGAAAAAAGAGCTCTTGAGCCCAAAGTACAAGTTTTGTATTGCTTCGCATTGTAAATGCACCAACAAGAATGGGAGCATATGCATAATTAGTCTTAAAACACCCATTTCTAACACTGTTATTTGCCACATAATAAGCTCAGACAAAGATTCTCTGTACTTATGGAAATGCAAATAGAATCACAAATTTGGAACTTTTCTTCACAGAGAATTTGCTGTGCACCAGAATCTAAATGTGTTTCTTATTTTTAAAAGCTATTTTCAGCTCAGTTAGTTTCAAAGGTTCTTTTAAGCTTAAAAGTTAGAAGGGACTGAGAAATCAGCAGTACAAAAAATGCTAACACCAACATTCATATAAACAGCAGGTAAAACTCTTCTGGTAGGAGACCATTCTCCCAAGCAGAGGACCACGGGCTCAGAGGGCTCGGGCACTGAAGCCCTGACCGTGGTTTCCTGCTGTACGCGTGTCACAGGGCTGCTCCCCCTCTAGGAAACACTGCTCATTAACATCAAGCGTCTNAAAAAAGAAAAAAAAAAAAAGAGGGACAGTCTGCATAACAAAGGCTTGTAGAAGAATACTACAGAAGATTCAGCAACCAAGGCCACCAATGCAATGTTTACAGAACAGTTAAAGCCAGTGGCTCGTGGAAAACCTCATCCAAGAGAGGTTTTTATTATCACTCAATGCAGTTTATTTGAGAGGAGGCTAATTCTAAAGTGTTTGCTTGTGATGTTCCAAAGTATATTTCCTGCCATGATTTTATTGTTTTCCATGAATTTCTTGCTAGCCAGCAATGTTATATTTTTAGATGTTACCATGGTAGGTTATAAATATTTTAATTATATTAATGAGGCCAATGTTAGTGAAAATGTATTGCAGCATTACTTCCAATAGCCAAGATCTGGAAGCAGCCCAAGTGCCCATCAGTAGATGAGCGGATAAAATAGC